AGAGCAGCCTCCTCGGCCTGGCTGGCCCTTCAGGCAGTCAGGAGGCAGGCTGTGGATTGGCAAGAGCAGCCTCCTCGGCCTGGCTGGCCCTTCAGGCAGTCAGGAGGCAGGCCGTGGATTGGCAAGAGCAGCCTCCTCGGCCTGGCTGGCCCGTAGGAGGCAGGCCGTGGAAGTATATAGGTACCCCCCCAGGCACTTCACGATTCATTCAGGAGTTGTAGTCTTCAGGATTCGGGAGCAGCACTCCGGAGGTTCAAACATTGATTGGGCTAGTTAGTACTACTCTAGCATTCTGTTTCGCTACTCTGAACTACGTGAATGAGGTCAGTCCTGTCAGGTCAGTCTTTGTATCAAAGTCTTCCCTGCGCCATTCAGCACCTTTTGTATGTATGAGAATGTACATTGTCTGTCGAGATTCTACTCGCACTGTATTGTCCAGTCAGTCCTTTTCATCACACTGCAGTTCCTCAGTTATTATGTACATTGCATATCTGTGCATGTAACACCCATAGACCATTTGCACCACACAGACATCACGAACAGAGCGGCTCCTCTAAGAATCCTGCAGGCACTCCAAACAATCAACCACCCACTATTTAGCACTTCTTAAGGTGCTCACTCAAACATGCAGAAAGTACTTCAGAAATAAACTGGAGAAAGAACAAGCAACGAACAACAGACAGACTGGCAAGAATTGATTGAGCGTGTGTGTGTGTGTGTGTGTGTGGCACTGTTTGGGTTGTGAATATGTCAGAAGAAGCTCGTAGCGACGTTTTTGGGGACAAGTCGAACAAAAAGTAGGCAAATCGAGCTGGGGGAAGTGCGTAAATCTGTTTGTTCAAGTTTGTTACCATGTCCAACTTCGAAGTCTTATCCATGGTCATCCATGGTCACTACATTATAACAATCGCTGTTTGGCGGCCTGTGACCAGCAGCCAATCTGGGCTCTTCGTTTCATTGGCGCGCGACGGTCCAGATTGGCTGCTGATTGTTGTCGATGTCATCAACTTGGTATCTGGACGGTCTTCGGCATTGAACCGCACGGGAAAGGTGGGCCGGTAGCGAATTCCCACTGGGCCCTACTCTCCGCGCCCACCTTGCCCACCTTCTGCGCACACCTAAGGTACGACGAGAGAGAGAGAGAGAGAGAGAGAGAGAGAGAGAGGGGGACTAGATACGACGACAACGATGACTCGCACATGGGCGACCCCGCCCCTAAGACCCAAAAAAAAAAAAGGCTACACAACTTCGATGCTGGATTGCTAAGACGCTACTGTACTACATTCAACTTTGCTACTCTCTCTCTCTCTCTCTCTCTCTCTCTCTCTCTCTCTCTCTCTCTCTCTCTCGACGCTGGCTACACTCGACCTCACACAGACGCGTCCCACAGCGTCCACAATCCGTGAAGTGGCCTCTCTCTCTCTCTCTCTCTCTCTCTCTCTCTCTCTCTCTCTCTCTCTCTCTCTCTCTCGACGCTGGCTACACTCGACCTCACACAGCCGCGTCCCACAGCGTCGGCCATCCTTCCCCCCTGTGCACACCTTCCCTCCCCTTTGCACCCACTTTCCTCCCCCTCTGTGGCCACCTTCCCTACCCTCCGCGCCCACCTTCCCTACTCTACTCGCCCACCTTCCATCCCCTTCCTGCTCACCTTTCCCGCCTTCTGCGCCCACCCACTGGGCTCTCTCTCTCTCTCTCTCTCTCTCTCTCTCTCTCTCTCTCTCTCTCTCTCTCTCTCTC